AAGCATCTGTTAACATCTTCAAATGTATTGATTCGAAAATATCAAAATTAAAAGTCTTTGAAGGTAAAGATATAATGAAACATGCCTGGTTAACATGATGGTATTTGTGAAAAAGATTTGAATGTTGAGAACCAGTTCTCTGCAAATTCAAAAGTGAATAACCTAGCTTCATGTGGGATACAATAATAAACTATTTTTGTTGTTAATTGCAATTCCCATTTGCTCTTCTGTTGAGAAAGAGATTATTATAATTGCCTATTTGTCATTAGTTTGTCTGTAACAAAATAAATCATGAATCTGAAGAATTCAAATCTTCTCCATATTTCATGCTTAAACAGTGTAAACAATATATATTCAAAATGCTGTTTGTCATACATCAACATATCTTTAATATGTAATGAGTCCTAAAGCTTCTGATTGATCTTTGGAACTACATAGTAGATATAGGCTATACAGATTTCTGCTCAGCACATTTGGTAGGCATTCAATTTTTTTTGTTCTTGGCTTCCTATTTTAGTAATTTTCAACTTTCTGCCCTCAATGCATTTTATGCTTTCCCGCATGACCGGATCCTGACCCAGTACTTCTCATCTGAATTTTTGCTCCTTACCATGTTTGGTTATATCTTGAACTTGTCCCCTGTTTGAACTTAGCTGTTCACTTTTCAAGTTTTGATGCAATACTGAGGTTGTCTGTTTGACTGCTTCCAGCTTGACCACTCACTGATTATTTATGAACACCATCACAGGAGATCTGAAATAAGAACAGAAAATGCTGGAAATACTCAACTGGTCTGTCAGCACCTGTGAAGATAGAAACAAAGATTAACTTTCAGGTCTGTGACCCTTACAGTTGAAAGACAGGGTATTTCCAGTAATTTTTGATTTCAGAATCAGTAATATTCAGCTTGTGTAGCCTGGGTGATCTAATTGAAATAAGTTTCTAAGTGGATTTGCTTAGTCACTTGATGTGTACTGAATAAATTAACGATTTCTAGAATGATATTGCAAAACTTTTTGTACAAGCTTCAATAGAAATCATGTAGTTATATTAACTAACATATGACATCACAGATTTTCTCCAAACCTCCTTTTTCTGCATCTATGTCTAATACCTGAAGGATTGCATGGGTTTAGAACTTATTGGTAAAATTTGGGTATAGAGTATATAGTTATCCCTCACCTTATAAACATTCATTTGAGTGAAGGATATTGTGGATACTCATTATAGGTTTGTGAGGTATCCACATATTTTCTTCTTTTTCAGAGATCTAGTAATCTGATAAATGATGTTAGTGTATTGGTTTTATGTTTGGCTAATGTCAGGCTTACTCAAGTTGTGATACTATATTGTTTTGTAGTTGAAAATGGTTAATTTAGTTAGGATTATGTATAAAGTAAATCCATAAAGCAATAGAAATTTAATAATGGAAGAAGCTGTTCCTGGGTGACTTCTATTGAACAGCTTCTAACATAATTGAATTCATTTTAAACCTCCTTTCTGTTCCCTGCCCACTTTCCTGTGTCCACTGCATTCATTCAAAAGAACATGGCTGATCCTGAGTGCCTTCGTTACCCATGAGTTTGTTGACCTTGCTGTAAAGTATTTGGCTAGTTGTTGATACTCAGTTAAAACAGATTTAAATTTCAGTTTATTATACTTATATTTCTGCTTGGTTTATTAATCTATGTTTAATTATGACAAAAGCTGTGGTTGGTTGGCTCGCCGAACTGGTTCATTGTTTTTCCGCAGATGTTTCATCACCTTGCTGGGTAACATCATCAGTGCAGCCTCCAATGAAGTGCTGTTGTGTTTTCCCACCTGTTATTTGAACTCTGGAGTCTGTTGAGCTGGATTACCTCACTTCCCGTTTTCCTTCGCAGTGGAGCGTACATGGGGTCGCAAACCCACATCAATCCTGCGACAACTGCTCACCTGAACCAAAGACCCATTACCCACTATGGACAGGATCAATGTCATATGCAAGATTCCCTACAGAGACTGTGACAAACAGGAAGGAGATTAACACCAAGGGTACATAAACATCAATTGGCTGCAAAAAGACACGACCAATCCTATCTACATGGATGAGGAGAACCTCCAATTTGACTGGAACAATACCAAGATCCTGGGACAAGTAAAGCAGAGACAAGCACAGAAGCCTGGTACTCCACGAAGAAAGCCATCAACAAACACATAGAGCTCGACCACTGCAAAGGAAAACCGGAGGTGAGATTATCCAGCTCAACGGACTCCAGAGTTCAAATAACAGGCAAGAAAACACAACAACCCTTTATTGGTGGCTGCACTGATGTTACCCAGCAGGTTAATGAAACGTCTGCGGAAAAACAACGAACCAGCTTGGCGAGCCAACCAACCAACCACAACATCCACAATCCGAGCTACAAATCTACTCTAAAACCTTATTACAAAAACTGTGAATTAAGAATGTCTATCAACTATGGAACCCCTTGATAGTTAGTCTGTTCTGTAACATGTGCCCTTATTTCATTAAATCTGAGGGACTCCAATTTTGACATGTATTGAGTCCAACCGGTTGATTAATTCATGACCAGGACTGGGAGATCCAAAAAAGAGAGAACCCAGAACAATAAGGAAACTGGTACTCTGGAAAACTCCCTCCCACAGAGATGGAGTGTTGTCTGTAAAGGTGTTTATCCTCTTTAGGTGCAGTCTTTGTCCCAGTCTCAAACCATTTGAAATCCCTCTTAAAATCAGAGTCAGTCTTCCCCCTATTAGCAACGGTGTGTTTTGGAAGTTCACAACTATTTGAGAGAAGAAAAATTTATTTATTTCTATTCACATCTAGTTGAAACTTGCCTCCTCTTACTCCCTCCAATTTGTTGAACCAGAATATTCTATAGTTATCCAGTTCCTAAATTATTTTATAGACCTCCAGTGTGCCATGTGTAAGTTTGTGCTGCCCTCAAGTAATAAACCACAATGTGTTTGAGTCTATCTGAACAGCTGGGATTCTTCACTGAAGCTTCCCAGAGTGGTCACACAGAATGGTAGTAAACGGTATGCAGCATAATCAGTATAGAAGTTGAGAATTAATGAGAGGGGACTTAAGTACCAAGGGAGATAGGTTCTTGATTGTCAAGGGGATCAAAGGTTATGGGGAGAAAGCAGGAGAATGGGATTGAGAAACTTATCAGCCATGATTGAGTGGCGGAGCAGACTTGCTAGGCTGAACAGCCTAATTTCTGCTCCTATGTCTTATGGTCTTATGGGGAAAGAGGATGTTGTATTTTGCTTACAATGCTTATAGACGTTTTTGTAAGCTTGAAATAAGCAATTTTAAATATTATTAAGTGTTTAGTAGTTAGTCCACAGAAAAGGAAAGGAGAAATTTCTGAACTTAAAAAAATTCTGTTATAAGTAGTTTCAACTATGTCATGGCATCATGGCAGAGCACTAAAAACCAAGTGCTGGAGTAGCACAGCAGGGCTGGCAGCATCTGCGAAGCGAGAAATGACGTTCGTGTTTTTAATCTGAAATGACTCCTTTGTATTTTTTTTTAAACCACGTCCTTTGCTCAGCGCATGTTGCTCAGCATTAGTGAGGGCACGCTCAGAAGGTATAGTACACACAAATCAGGCAAAGCCCATAGGAGACATGAGTCGGAGGAGAGGGGAAGTGGAATCCAGAGATTTACTGGTCCCTGTGAGCTTTTGGAGCTAGCATTTCTTGACTTGTGAAGAAAATGAAAGTTCCTTGTTACAGCTTTGAATGAGATGAGAAACAAAGTGGAGCTCGGGGGCGGGGGCAGTGAGGCAATACTGATGGAGAGAGAGAGGTTGAGAGTATGCATGTGATGGTGCATGGCAGTGTGTCAGTTTCAAGATACAACAGCAGCAATTGTTTAAGGAGTGTCATACGTCTTGGACATGCCTGTAATGACAGGGCAAGTTGCGTGTCAGATGTACAGAATGTACAAAGTTGGGGACATTGAGACTGTCTTTAAGTGGGCATACTGCAGTAAACGTCATTCATTCTTTTTCCCTCAGAATGCTCAAGCAGGAGAAATGGATAAAGATTAATTAAATAAGGGGACCAAAACTCTTCACAGTATTCCAACTTTGGCTTGACTACTACCTTGTATAGTTTTATCAAGACCTTGCTGTTTTTACCATGAGCAAAATGCTGGAGAAACTCAGCAGTCTGGCAGAATCAGTAGGGAGAAAAAGAGTTAACTTTGACTTTAGTGACCCTTCTTCAGAACTAAAAGCAGCTGGGAAATGTCAGTGATGCTGATGATGGGGATGTGGGGGTGGTTGGAGTTGTTGCATGTGGAGGAGTGAAGTAATGAGTCAAATAGATAGAAACAGTGCCCGGACAGAGTAAAAGAAAGGAAAGCAAATAAAAGGATTGCTGGTAACAAGCTACAGGAGAAATAAATGCTGAATGGGCGCAAACAGAAAGCCTGAATGGTTGAAAATGGGTTGGTTGTTGGGGGTGGGTGATGAAGATGGAGGTAGGTGTTCATGGTTGAAATTGTTAAACTTAATGTTGATTCCTGAGGGTTGTAAGATACCAGGGTGGAAGATAAAATGTTGTTTTTCCAGCTTACGTTGAACTTTGCTGGAACACTGCAGCAGGCCTGAGAAAGAAACATTGACATGGGAACTTGGTAGTGTCTTGAAGTAGCAGGCAACTAGAAGTTCAGGTTCATTTTTACAGATCGTGCGGAGGTGTTCTGCAAAGCAATCACCCAGTCTGTGATTCATGTCCCCGATGTAGAGGAGACCACATTCTGAGCAGCAAATGCAAAAGATTAGATTGACAGGATAGTGATGAGGGAGCAGGTAAATGGGCAAGTATTGCACCTTCTGAGATTGTCTTTGGCTGACCTTGACCATCGCCAGCCTCTGCTTTCTATTTGACTTTAAGCTATACTTCCATCCCAATATTCTCTCTGTTGAGAAGGTTCACCACTTCCATCTCCAAAACACATCTGTTTTCTCACTGCCTCAGGTTACCTGTGCTCAAACCCTCTGCTGTGCTGATATCATCTCATGTTTCCATTATTTCAATGCTATCTTGATTGGCTTCAATCAGGACAGTGTCCAATATTGAATGTCAGCTGCATCATCAAAGACCTTCCCTCCATCATAAGGTCAGATATGGTATGTTCATTTGCAATATTCAGCACCATTCATGGCACCTCAAGTACTGAAATAACCCATGTCCATATCTTACTGCATATGCAACATCCAAGCTTGAGCTGATAAGTAGCAAGCAACATTCAGGCCTGAAGTCCCAGACAATGATCATCTCCAACAAGAGAATCTAACCATTATCCCTTGATTGTTCAATGGTATGATCATAGAATCCCTGCAGTGTGGAAACAGGCCCTTCAGCCCAACAAGACCACACTGACCTTTGGAGCATCCCACCCAGACCCAACCCCTATAACCCACCTAAGCAACATATCCCTGAACACTACGGACTATTTAGCATGGCCAGTCCACCTAGTCTGCACATTTTTGGACTGTGGGAGGAAACCGGAGCACCTGGAGGAAACCCACGCAGACGCTGGGAGAATGTGCAAACTCCACAAAGACAATTGCCTGAGGATGCAATTGAACCTGGTCCCTGGCACTGTGAGGCAGTGGTGCTAACCACTGAGCCACCGTGATTATCTCAGATTACCCCACAATGAACGTCTCGGGGATTACAATTGACCAGACACACACAGGCTAGTCATTATAAATACTGTAGCTACTGGGGAGGCGATAGCCTAGTGGTATTATCGCTCGACTGTTAATCCAGAGACCCAGATGGTGTTCTGGGGACCCAGGTTCGAATCCCACCATGGCAGATGGTGGAATTTGAATTCAATAAATATCTGAAATCAAGAATCTAATGATGACCATGAATCCACTGTCGATTGTCGGGAAAAACCCATCTCGTTCACTAATGTCCCTTAGGGAAGGAAACTGCCATCCTTACCTGGTCTGGCCTACGTATGACTCCAGACCCACAACAATGTGGTTGACTCTGAACTGCCCTCTGCGCAATTAGGGATGGGCAATAAATGCTGCCTGGCCAGTGATGCCCTTGATTTATAAATTAATAAAGGAAGACCAGATTAGAATCTGGGAAATCTGCAGTAAGTAACTCTTCATCCTGTCTCCTTAATGCCTGTCCATTGTCTCTAAACCACAAGTCAGCAGTCCCAAGGACTACAGGAGTTCAGGTAGTTCAGCCCCCACCATTTTCTTTAGGGCAGTAAATGTTGGCCTAACCAGAGAGTCCCAAGTTCCAAGAATGAATTCCTCTTTTTTTAAAAAAAATTGAATTTCATTGTGACTTCTGTCTTAACGATATGCCAAAGCACTTTAAAACGAATGTATAACTTTTGAAATTCAGCCATTTTTGTTACAAAGGCAACATGGCAATTAAATGGCAATATTCAATGTTTTCAGCCATTTTTTGATTTTATGTGGAAGGATCAAATTTATTCTAGTCTGACATCTTTGAAACTGATGACCTTAGCAGGAAGCAGTGATGGATCATGTACTTATCACTTCTGGCTCAAGATAGGTGCAAATATTTTGGCCTTGTCTTTTGCATTGATGTGCTGGGCTCCCCCATTGTTGGGGATGGGGATATTTGTGGAGCTTCCACCTCCTGTTAGTTGTTTTCATTGTCCACCCGCACCAGAAGTGGCAGGATTGCAGAGCCTAGCTCTGATCTGTTAATTGTGGAATCACTTAGCCCGGACTTTGATTTTAATACAATTGAGTGACTTATATACATTTCACAAAACAGTTAAGTGTCAACCAAGTTGCTGTGGGTCTTGCATTACTGCTAGGACAGACCAGCTAAAGATGGCAGATTTCTTCCCCTTAAGGAAGTGAACTAGATGGGTTTTAATGACCATCACAGTGGTTACATGGTCACCATTAGCGTTGCTTTTAATTTCAATTTTTTTAAATTGGATGCAAATTTCACCACCCTGTCATGATGGGATTCAAAAACACATTTCCAGAAAATTAGCTGCGGGATCTGGATTACGAGTCCAGTGACATTGCTGCCTCCTCCTTGTAGTTGAAATAGGGTCTTAATTTATGTTCAGATTTTCTTGTTGATTATAGAATGCCATTTCATTGCAATCCTGTCTCTTGTTGCATGTTGGTTACAGATCAAGTTTTCAATTGGTTTCTCTTGACTTTTTAAAATGATATTATTTTAATACTTATCACCATGTATTTAACAAGATGACTTGGTGTTTTACGATAATACTTATTTTAACTACAGTGCATTCACTGTAGTGTTAACACTTTCGGGACATGTAAAAATTAATTTGAAAAGTCAATCACCAAAGAAACAGTTGTCTCCATGTATTGGCTCTTGCTTAAATAGAAATCTTCCAAGCTCTCTGTCCTGTCTTTTTTCTAACTTTTGTGGAATTTGGGCACTGCTGGCCCAGCCAGCTTATTGCCCATCACAAATTAGCCTTGAGAAGGTGGTTATGAGCTGCCTCCTTCAACCACAACTGTACATCCACAGTGCAGTTACGGGGGGAGCTCCAGGATTCTGATCAAGTGATAGTGAAGGAACAACACATCAGGCCCAAATCAGGATAGTGTGTGGTTGATGAGGAACTTGCAGGTGATGGTGCTCCCATGCATTTGTATGAGAGGTCACTGGTTTGGAAGGTGCTGTTGAAGGAACTTTGGTGAGTTGCTTCAGTGCATCTTGTGACTGGCATGCACTACTGCACTGCATGGTGATGGAGAGGGTGAATGTTTAAGGTGGAGGATAGGATGCAAATCAAGTGGTCTGCTTGGACCTGGATTATGTTGAGCTTCTCAAGTATTTTGCAGCAGTAAACAGAGTGCATTTCATGACATTGCTGATTTGTGCATTGTAGATGATAGACAGGCTTTGGGATTTCAGAAAGTGAGTTCCTCACCATAGAATTGACATGCTGTTATAGCCACAATATTTATGGGGCTGGTCCTGTTCTTGTCAATGATAAACCCCATTAAGTTTGTTGTTGCCAGACTTAAGCTTGTTAGGTTTCTGCTAGTTGCAGCATATATTATCTGCATTCCATTTTAACATTTTACCTACTTGCAGTTTAGTCACAAGATCATTTAAAAATAAAATTCTGGTCATTTGTTTTGCCAAATCATCTACAGGTACAGCAACATTCCTGAAAAAACAGAATGAAAGTTTGTCAGATTCTTTGACATCTAAGTCAAATTTGAAAAGAAAAGCACAATGTACTTCAAAACATTAACTTAGTGCATGGGGCCTTGGGTTCTTGGATGTGGTGTAGAAACATAAGATGTTAGTCAGAAGCTTTTTTTAGAAATTTAAGTGGTTCAAATCAATTTCATCTACTTTTCAGAATTTGGGGGAAAAAAATGACAACTATACTTAACCCATTAGAATAAAATGGCTGTTGCACATGTTTTCAGATAGAAGGACTAATTTTGCAGGTTTGTTAAAACATAACACCAAATCTGTCCTTGAATAATAACATTCTCTTAACTCATAATTTTGTTGCAGATTACTTGTAATATTTTCAGAACCCTTCCTCCAAGCGACAATCCAGATTTTGATCCAGAAGAGGATGAGCCATCTTTAGAGGCAGCATGGCCTCACATGCAGGTGATAATTATGGAAAATTGGGTAGTTTCTATAACATTCCTTTTTTCCCTTAATTCCTTGTCCAGTACTGTGGATACTTCAGGAAGTGAAGAATTTCACTATACATATATTGTGTCCTAATAATGTCTACAAACTGTCCCTAACTTTGTGCATTAATCAATCTCTTCTGCTCAATTGGAGGAATTGGTTGGTTTCCTCCAACAAGCTACATTTAAGGTGAAGATGCTTTACAGTTTCAACATTATCTGTTGCTTTTAATGTGGATTGGATGGAGAGAGGCAGTTGCAGTAACCATTACTAATGAATGTGTTCTACTTTACGGTGATAAAAGATAAAGACCTCTACCTTTGTATGTTGTCATAAATGACTCCAGAATTTTAACACTACTACATCTGTGTGGGATACAGAGAGTATCTTACATAATTCTCAACCTCAGCCAGTAATGAGCTTTTATGGCAGCACTGACCCTTTATTTTTATTGATAAATCTTTTAAATAACTGCTTGTTTCTTGATTTTTGTTTTTTCCTTATCATTTGGATCTTACCTGAAAACATAGCAACAGATTTTTTTTGTAAAGAAGGCAGTAGTACTAAGCAGTTTTATTAGCACGCAATGTAGTTCCGTGTATCTGCTATCCTGTCAAGGCCATGCAGTCTATAGCCATTTCAGTTCACCTCCTCAATGAAGAGAATGATCTTGCGCAAAAAGGGCATTAGAAGCTCTGCCCTTAACTAGTCCTCCTTTACCCCATCTGAGCTGTTCAGATGTTGCATACTTAGAAAACAACTCCCACAGCTGGCAACGGATCACATTACTGAACTAATAATTGTCTATCAGTGCCTCTACCACTACAAAATTTCTGATGTAACTGAAATCAGCTACTTAAACCTGCTTTCCTAATCCTATGAGGACGTAATATGGATCTAGGAATTTCCTTTCTCTCCCCACTGACTGTGCACTTGATCTGTTTTGCCCACAAATAATAGTTTCTCTCACCACTGAAAAATTGCCAACTCCATGCTGTAAGTTATAAGTTACAATTTAAGTTCAAATCCCAATGTTTGAAACTTTAACCATAATGCATGGAAGACAGTCTGTTGAGGTAATTTGACCCTTAAATTATCAATAACCCTTGATAAAGCATGTGGTGACATTTTAGGTATACTTTGGTTCGAGCTTCCTGGTTAATCTTGGGTATGGGATCAGCAGTTGCCCCTCTTCAACACCTCTGGGGAATTCTGCTTCTGATTGGACAGCAGGCTGTACAAACCTCAGTTGGTATTTGTGTTGGTTATTGAAAACACTTTCCAAGCCACAGCACGGTCAATGATGTTATTACACTCTGATTGGCCTAGATGAGGTGAGGCTAATTTCTAAATGGTCTAAGGGGTGCCAGATCAATCTCTAATTGGACTCAGTGGTGATTGACATCGACTGCTATTGTAGAATCATAGAGTCAGACCCTTCGGCCCAACCGGTCCATGCCAAACACAATCCCAAACTAAACTAGTCCCACTTGCCCGCCCCCGACCCATATCTCTCCAAACCTTTCTTATTCATGTACTTATTCAAACGTCTTTTATAAGTTGTGATGGTACCCATAACCACCATTTCCTCAGGATGTTCATTCCACACGCGAACCATCCGCTGTGGAGAACAAAAAATTGTTTCTCATGTCTTTTTAAAATTTCTGTCCTCTCATCTTAAAAAAAAATACTCCCTCTAGTCTTGGAAAGGGAAAAGACAACTACCATTAACTCCACCCAAACCCCTCAACCTCCTGTGCTCCAGTGGAAAAAGTCCCAGCCTACTCAGCCTTTCTTTATAAATCAAAACCTTCCATATCTGACAACATCCTGGTAAATCTCTTCTGGACCCTCTCCAGCTTAATCTCCTTCCTGTAACTGGGCAACCAGAACTGGACACAGTATTTCATCGCTCACTATCTCTTGATAAATTTCCTTTGATGCCACTTGTTCCTTTATGACTCCTTCTTAAGAGGATATTTTCTGGTCTTGTCTTTACCTGTTTGTTTAGCATAGGGTCTGCAGTCAGTCCCTCATGTTTAATACTCTGAGATCACTGTCTCAGATTTTGCAAGTTTCTCATGAAATCACACGCACACCAGTTTTATTTTTACATTAAGAGGTGACTTGTTAGGTGATTTTTCTCTCTGTGGTTGTGTGTGCCTGGAGCATTTTACTTTTAAAACATTGAATATGAAAAGTTGCTTGTAACCTTAACTTGTCTAACACTCATACAAAAGATCATTAATATCTTCGTGTTATTAACATCATCATATTTTATCAGTTAATAATTAACAGATTACAAAATAAAATGTAGGTAGTACTTAAAATTATGCAAAATGTATAAAAGTGCAAATGTGTAATAGGCGAGGAAGTGAGGTACTCTTATGCCTTTAGTCACAACATACTCCTTCATGATGAAAGCCTGAAGGTTTATATGGTTGCAAACATAAAACACATTATTACAAAGTTAAGTCCAATGTAAAGATTATATTTAACAAAATGTAGTTGTTTTCCTTCTAAATCACTGTGAATTTAAAACAAAACTAACATTAGAACACAACTGTGTGGCACAATGGTAGTGTCCCTGCCTCTGCACCAGGAGGCCCAGATTCAAGTGCCACCTGTTTCAGAAGTGTGTAACGATATCACTGAACCTGTTGATAGAAAAAACAGAACACAACTGCTGTTTTCTGTTCCTCTCTTTCTGAGGTAGAACTCCTTCTCATTTGCTTCTATTGATAACACCAAGTTTGATAAGGATTTAATGAGTTGAGAGTCCATGAACTTGAAGATTGCATGTTTGCACAGTGTAGCTCTGAAATAGAAATAAACTAAACAGGGGCCTCATTAGTATTTTCATTTTGTTCAAAGTGCCCTGGTGCATTTCTTTGTCAAGGCGAGGCTGAGCGGAGTCACATGAAATTAAACTGCTAAAATCTACATAAGTTACAGTTAAGCAGAATAATATAGCATTAGATTAAGTGACAAGTATGCTTACCTGGTTGCATAATTATATTGAAAATAAAGACTAAACATCAATCACCTTAAGGGTAGTTCCCCTATTAAGCGATAGTTGCGTTCTTGTGTGACCTCATGCCATAGAAAATCGCATTATAGAAAATGGCCAGCAGAAAGTTCATGTTATCCAAACAGTGTCCACTATTCATTCATTGCATTACAGCCTATTCGCATTAACGAAACATGCATTATAGCAGAACTACCTGTACTAGTTTTACACCACTAAGCTTGAAATTTTCATCTGACCTTTCAAATTATCATCAACTCAGGCTGAAATGGAGATTGGAATATTACCATATCAGATTTAATCTCAGACATGTGAAAAGCTAATTCAGTTTAACTTTCATCCCAAAATGAGACTTCTTCTAAAAAGCACCCCAAAAAGCAAAGTGATGCTGCGTGACATCTTGAACTATGACACAACACTCCTCCTGATATTGGCTCCGAGGTGCAGCCAAGATACAGACTACAAAACTTCAGCGCTTCTGCACCACTACCTTCCAAAGGTTTCTCTGCTGTTGAAACCCACCATCCCACCTTCCACGTCTTCCTCTGCTGTTAAAACTGAAACGTCATGTTTCTTTGTCCCCAATCACCACCTCAGTTGTAAAGAGCTGACCACCCCAAACTAAAAGCCAAGGTTTTGGCCATGGTATGAATACCAATAGCTATATGCTTCATTTTTATTGATAGAGAAATCTAATCTCAATGTGTATTTTGTGGTATCTTTCCACTCCCAACAATCATAGAATCCCTACAATGCAAAAAGAGGTTATTCAGCCCATCAAGTCTGCACTGACCCTCCGAACAACATCCCACCCAGACATAACCCTAGACCCTATTCCTGTAACCTCATATTTACCTTGGCTAACTCACCTAGCCTGCACTTCCCTGGACACTAGCATGACCAGTCCATTTAACCTGAATATCTTTGGACTAAATGTTCTCTCTTCTGTCCAAAAAAGCCAGTAACGGTCATTGTAGCTCTCCCTCACCTTTCTAAGAAGAAAATTCCAAGATCAGCTCACTGCAAACCTTAAACTCTAATCCCTATAAAGAAGAAAATCTGGGAATGGGCACAGAAAGGGGTTTTCCCCTCCCTCGATGTGAAAAATTGAGATTACAAACAGCTTTCAGCCACCGTTCCCTTACCCCCACTGACTGAAAGTAAAATCTGGCATTGTTGGAGGTAAAGAGATCACCCTGTTTGACAGCCCCTTTCAAAGCTTGTTCTCTTCTCACTCATCTTTGTTGCTGCTCTTCTCATGTTTCTGTCTACATCTTTGCTTTCTTCTCTTCTTCTACCTTATTACATGTTGCCGACAGTTTTCACTGCTCCTCTGAATAAGTGTATAATATTAAACTGTAAGTGGAAAATTTTGTAATTTATTATTTAAACTATCTGTTAACATAAATAGCACTCCTTGAAAAGATGGCCTTAGGCAGAAATAGCTGTCATTTCTGGTTTTAAAATGTTTATCAGAATTTTAGTAAAATCGCAGAACGTACAATTCAATGTTGCTGATCCTGCTGTTGAGTACAACATTATTGTTTGGCCTCTTGCAACAGAGATTCACATTACTAATCTGAAACACAGTTTCTGTAGATTGAGCCAGCTACTCTGAAGGGGAAATACTGTGGGTTATTGATCATCTGAGAACAAGGATTGAGGGGAAAAAACAAGTTAAAGGATCATTCTCCTTTTGGAAACAATCAGCTAATAAAACTATCAAGTTGAAGTTATATGTAGCGTCAGTGTTCACAAGTGTATTTTGTGCAGATGCCTAACGTGATTATTTTTGTTAATTGTCACTTCTTTCTTTGTTTAAAGATCGTGTATGAATTTTTTCTGCGATTTCTGGAATGCCCAGACTTCCAACCTAGTATTGCAAAAAGATTCATTGATCAGAAATTTGTACTTCAGGTAGGTACTTTAAACTTTATTTTGTCTGACTAAGTAGATGAACAATTTCATACTTCCTCAGGATCAGGTGCTTGGATTGCACATCTTATGTTGCCTGCATTAAGCAGGTTGAGGTTCTTTCTGTGCTATCCTCCAACAGTTCACTTTGAGGTGGATCAAAAGCATATCTTCTGTGTTCAAGTATGTAAGTGATCTTCTCATTTTACCACATCGTCAATGTCATGTTGTATTTCGTACAACCTAAAGAGCAAGGAAATGGTGAATCCAAAGTTTCTTCAACTATGCTGGCTCCACCACCAGCATTCACTTTAAAATGTTTATTGTTATTACCTGGGTATTGCAGTCAGCAGTGAAAGAACAGCACTTGCTATTTATTATGCTTACAGCTACCCAGTAAACTTTGTGGGTTTTGGAGCAGAAACTTAGTCAACAGGTGTCTGAAATCGTGCAGCTGTCCCCACAAAGGATCTGGGACTGTACATGAACAAGACAACCAATCAAATTGAAGAATTTCTATGTGGCATCTGAACTAGGAAGTGTCAGTTGGAATATTTTGTTAAATGTAAATCGTATACTGAAAATAGAGGGAAACAAAGGATTAGGAGAGGGAAATGAAACACTCGGGTAAATTTATAGAGTTTCTAAATTTAAATAAAAACATCCAAAAATAATAGAATCTGTTGTAATGTAACCCCTAACTTATTTTTTTAAAGAAAGTAAAGGAGAGAGGTTGTTTAGTAGGAATTATGACTTATGCCATTAAAAATTCACGTACTCAAATTGACGAGCCTGACTATTTTTATGTGTCTGGAGTAGTTATCTGAGGAATAAATAGCTCACTTGGCTAGACAGCTATCGCATGGATCAGATTAAGACCAACAAACTGGAGTTTAATCCTTGTTTTAGCTAGGTAGGATCAGCTTGTTTCTGTCCCCTACCCATAGTTTTAAGAAAAAAATCACAGCCTTGATTCAGTAAAAATCACCAAAGACGTCTTCAAGAAGACGTGCATCTCATTGGGGAGTCAAGGGAAAATTCTTGCAAATTTTCATGCTTACATGTATTTCAATACAGCATATTTTGTAGAAATCTCCATGTAATAGTATGTATTATATATATCATGGACAAGCTAAATTAATTGGACAACGACTTCTGTGTTTCTGTATTTCTCCATGCATATGTGAGTGCCAGAAACGAGGTGCTTTTCATTCTCATAAAATAAGTTTAGAAACAAATATGGCCTTTACCCCTTTAAGCTTTCTTGGTAGGAACAAGAAAAGTATCGATGACCTTATGAGCAAATTGCAGATTTAGTACAGGGTTGAGTACTGAAGACAGACATAATCACAATGGATCCTGTTGAGTTAGATTGCTGCAATTGATTTGAAATAGTTTGGTCAGAAAGAGGAAAAAAGTGAAACGTTTCTGACATCATATTTGTTCATAATTATCAACAAAACTTGAAAACCTACAATAAAATGAATGCAAGCTTGCAAAATAATATCTCACAAAGGTATAGTAAATTTTTCTTTAAATGCCACTTGTCGTTGGCTTCTGACACGTTCTGTTCTTTTGAAGACCTTATTTTATTTCACCTCTTGCTTCTCGAATGAAATACCAATTACCTTAGACAGTTCAAGAATGGATACCTTGGCCTTGTCCTTTTTCTGAACTAATAGAGACTTTGTTTGATTTTTGTCCTCTTTATGCTTTGAATATAGTTATTCTGTCCAACTCGCTGCAGGGCCTGAGATCAGCTGGTGTAACCCCCAGACTTGTGACAGCACTGGGGCTTTGCTGGTCTTCCTGTGTCGTGCAACCTCCTTAACTGTTGAATGTTGAATTCCATGAAAAACGTAACCTTTTTTCATAAAAACAAATGGATACATCAAAAAAAGTAACAACTTCACTCTCTCTGCAATGGGGAAAAAAGAACGTGCAACTTCTGGATTTCTTTTTGAGATTCCAGTTTTCTCGGCCGTTGCAGTGGGGAGACAAATGCAAACAGAAAGCACTATTTATTTCTTTGTTACTTATGCCCGACAGGCAAACACGACAAGCTTCATCAAGTAACAGTGGTCAAATTTTTTTATCTAATTCTTGTTCTGATTTTGGTTTTCTTCTGTTTCCCTTTATGGAGGTGGGATGTTGTCTGGGGAAGATGAATGACCACTGCAGATTAGACTCTACATGTGTTTTAGGAAGTGTTCAACAGTTCAAGAAGATGATTTCTACAATGAGAAACTGTGGATCCTTAAGAGATTGTGGTTATTTGATAAGAGATGTTCACAATTATGGTGTGTTGGCAGATCTAGAGAGAAATTATTCCTGTTGGAGCTACAACTAGAGAAAACAAATTAAAGGTGATTGACAATAGATTCAATGATGATATGAGTGAAGGCAATTTTATGCAATGGGTTGTTGAATTGTGGAAATGTCTGAGATTATGTTATCATGGTGGAGACAGAGCAAATTATGGTTTTCAAAAAGCAAGTGCAAGTTATTTGAAGAAGCAAAAAAAAAATCCTACCAGCATGCCCCCCAATAAAGTCAGAAAATTGCCCTCAAAACTCAAAATGTAGTCATTGTGAAAATCTGAAGAGCAACCTTCAGGAGGGAAAAGAATATTCCACATGTTTGCTTTCCTTTGAGTGAAGAAATATGGGTCGACTCCATGTCCAGCACCTATATCCCTTGGTTCATGATATCCCAACCCTGATAATAAATCCTCCCTTCCTTTAGTCTGTCCAGCCCTATTAGAAGTTTATACTTTTTAATCTGATCCCCTCTCATCCTTCTGTGCTCTCGTCAGTACGGGCCCATTGGAACCAATCTGTCCTTATAGGATAGTTCTGCCATCTCTGGTATCAGCCTCGTATCAAACTCTGCTGTATTGCTGCATAGCAACTCTATCTTTCCTTGGGTAGGGAGACCATAACACATCACATGCAATTTCCAGGTATGGTCTCAACAACGCCCTGTGTAGCTACAGCAAGACATCCCTATATCTGAACTCCAATCCTTTTGCAATGAAGCCAATATAGCATTTGCCTCCCTGTTCGTTTGCTGCACCTGCCAGTGATGCTGCTGTCTCCCCATGATGAACTATGCTTGTGGCTATATTCCCATAAAAGTAAACTGTTCGCCACATTTATTTCATGATTTGACTTTCTGCTCTACTTTACCATAACCCATGGATTTAACTAATATTCCCATGTAATTCTGAAGTGGGGGTGTGGGGTTGGACTCGGGTGGACACCAGGTTTTGGTCCATCAGGTTTATTTGAAATCACAAGCTTTCAGAGCATTGCTGCTTCATCAGGTCACTTCGTCTGGTGAAGGAGCAGCTCTCTGAGAGATTGTGACTTCAGATAAACCTGTAGGACTTTCACCTGGTTTTGTGTGACTTCTGACCATGTAACTCTGAACATGTGCTTGTGGCCCTTATACGTGTATCTCTTAAACCTGACAAATTGGGTTGCTACCAAGCAAGAATTGCTAAATTGTCAAGCTTCTTGGACACGTAAGATGAACATGTAGAGCAGCAGTTAAGAACAGGTTCATTTTAGTTATATCAGCAAATCATATCATCTTGTAATCAAGAAAAATAAACATGACATGCTACCATACGTGAGAGAGTCACATTGCAGTTCACCAATCTTATTTATATGTTGTAAAATCTTATTGGTCATGAAGAAAGCAAAATTATGTTGGCACTAAATGCATAATGGCAATTGTTACATTTTGTTTCAAAATGTCCATTACTTAACTGTAATTATATCATATTAACACATGCATTCAGAATTATTTCACTTCTTAAAACGACGTCCATATGTTGTCTTTCTTCAGCTGTGGCGCAGCAGAATAAACTTGTTGATAACTAATCTGATAAAAGCAACAGGAGGAAGTAATCTTGCTTCACAATGCAAATAGAACTCTTAATTTTTAGTGCTGTAAAATCGAAGAAATGCTGTTAACCTAAAGGGTTTTCCAACTATTAAATGCCTCTTCATTGAAAACTTTGTCTCTTTTCTCAAACCAACTTTTTCCAGCTTTTGGAGTTGTTTGACAGTGAGGATCCACGAGAACGGGATTTTTTGAAAACAGTTCTGCATCGTATTTATGGAAAGTTCCTTGGATTGCGTGCATTCATCAGGAAACAGATCAACAACATTTTTCTACGGTAATCTGTAGTAAATGATTTCCTTCATTTACTAAAAACTGCCATTGAAGCAATGATCTACAGAAATTGATTTAAAGGGCAGTGAAAACCACGTGAAATATTTGTTTTTAAGAAACGTTCTATAGACTTAAACATAGAATGCCTCCAAATTGAGTGAAATCTTTAGTCTGAAATTGTCCTGCACCTTAACGCTGTCCTTTTGATCCTGTATTCTTTCTAGGGATGTGGAGTCATTGGGAATGTCAGAACTTGTAGCCCATCTGTAATTGCTTTCAAACTAAACAGCTTGCTAGGTCATTTCAAAGAGCAGTTAAGAGCAATTGCTATGGGTTTGGTGTTACAAGTATACCAAATCAGTTAAGACTGACAGATGCCTGTCTCTAAAGGACATTTATGAACGAGACTGTGTTTTTATAGCAGTCAATGGTATTTGTCATGGTTACCATTACTGAGCCTAGCTTAGTGTTCCAAATTTATTAACTGTATTTAAACTTGGTGGCATGGTAGGATTTACACCCATAACCCAGGCTTTTGGATTAATAGTCCAGTGATTTTACATTTACACCTCCATCCCCCCCCCTCCATGTCCAGTCCTTCAAGTTCATTATTGGCTCCCTTTCAGGCTTTTATATTAGCGTTCTTCGGTATTGTTTTCAACATAATCAAATTAGTTATCGTTCTTCATTTTGTAAATGAACGTGATGTAAGGTGGACTATATGCAAGCAATGAGTGTCATGAGTATGTTGCAAGCCAAGTTGATTTGGACAACTAAGAAGTAGGGAGCCTGTGAAGTTTGATCACTGCAGGAAGTGCCATCTGCTGTGGTCAGTTTTCTTGAGTTGAAAGCAATAAAATCAAACGTCCCTAAACAGACCTCTAGAGACTGTTACTGAAAAGATGTGCAAAGAGATATCTATTTACCTGAACCTATAACTAGGAGAAGCAGGGTTGCTGTTGGATACTGCTTGTGCCTTCCCAATCTCCTTCCCAACTCCTTCCTCCACACCTACAGCAAGCCTGAAGCAGGTGTCCCACACCAGCCAACTTTCCTCCTCTTTATGATGGACATTCTGCCTATATGTAAATGATGAGCCTCTCAGCTTGCTGATCATGTTCTAATTATGCAAGAATTATTTCTGCTTGGTTGTTTTATTGTGGCAGTCAGGGTTAAGCCCTAGTCTTCATTATCTTTTTTTTTCCCCATTAATTGTTGAGAGTTATGCTGTGTTGCGGAGAGATCTTGCATATTCTTGTACATGAATCATAAAAAGGTCAGAATTGCATCAGTCAAGAATAGTGAAACAGGCTAGAGGCACCAAGTAGTTGTCTTCTGTTCCCATTGCTTATGTTCATGTATTTCAATTTTTTTAATCAATGTTGTATCTATTTTGCATGATTTATTTTTGAAATTTCACCTGCAAATTGGAATTTGACAGAGCAGGTGCTGCTGCAGAACACTGTTATGTGCAGATATCCAAATATTTCCTGTAGGTTAGTTTTAGAGTTGATAACGAAAAGAAGGTTCATGGTTTGTTCTTTGTACTATCCTGTTGATGGAGTATCTGAAAACATTTTTAATATTTCCTCAGAAGTTCTGAATTCTTTCTGAAATGTGTTTTTTTTTTGTTTGTTTGGCCTCCAATAGTGACCTGGTAGCTGTGGTTATTTTCATTATGCAGTGGTAAAGATGGAGGTACCCTCATTCTCCTCCACACACTGCTGTTCTTTCTGATGTGGCGAGCCTCCTACTGGTCTTCCAGTTTTGAGAGCCCACCTGACATCCTAACTGGATGGTGGACACAACTGTTGGCCACTAATTGGCCTATTCACAGAAAATCACTTTTGGGTGATTGTATACACGGGTCTAGATTGGGACCTTGTTTAACTCTGACCGAGGGGTTCCAACCAGGAAGGTTTAGTTCAGCCTCATATTTTTGTTCTTCTATATACTGAATCATATCCTTCCATAGTTGGTAACTGTCCAATGTTTATAATTCCTTTTATGTGTGTATATGTACCACTGCACTTTGAATTCATATTATATAATGTTGACCTTTATTTCCTGGTTTTTCCAATAAGTGTTTGATGTTCCTAGCCCTTAGAACAGCATTTTTTTAAACAATATTTCCTGACTTCTCAAAATTTAGTTCAACAATACATTCTTCTTTTATTTTAATTGTTTATTAATCCTGATGTCTCCATTTAGACGCCAATCTAGACTTCCCTGTTGCTCCTCATCTTAAAATATTGGGAGGAAACTTAAAGTATATGTCATCTATACAAGGGCGTTATTGCCATTTCTATTCCTATGAATTCTATCTCTTTGGTAAAGTGAAGCCTTATCTTGTTCTAAAAACTCTTCAGTGCCCCAAAATCTCTCATGCTGTTCTATTCACCATTTCTGAATCATTGATCATAAGCTTAATTTGTCTAGTGTACTGCGTGTGAAGGAGTCAGGAAATTTTTACCATTGAAGCCTTTATTTTCTGTCTGGTGCCTCATGCTATAAGCTCCTGCAACAGATGTCTAGACACATCCGTATCTATGTCACTGTTTCCTACGTGAACCACAATTTTGGTTGTGCTCCTTCCCTTTCTAGAAGTTTTTCTACTTGCTGTTTGACATCCCTTGTACTAACATCAGGAAAATAACCCACCATATTATAACTTGCAGATATAACGGTATGATGATATGGATTCAAATCATGCTTCAAAGGTAGCTGATGGAATTTAAATGCGATTAGTATAATCTGTAATTCAAAACTAGTCTCCATAATGATGACCATGAAACTGTCAACAATTGTTGCAAAAACCCATCAGGTTAAAAAAAACTGTCTTCTATGGAAGGAAATCTTGCTTGCTTCCTTTCCTCATCTGGACCACGTGATTCTAGACCATCATACCAATATAGTTGACTCCCATCTCCCCTCTGAAATTGCCTAACAGCGTACTCAGTTCATGGGCAGTTGGGATGGGCAACAAATGCTGGCCTTGCCAGTGACTCCCACATTCCATGAAAGCGTTAAACAAAGCTACTTGTACTCACTTAATTTTATAGCCTAACTGCCACCTTCAAAGGCTTATGTACATACACCTGCAGGGTTGTTTATTTCTGCTTCCACTACACATGGTATGATTTTAGTTTGTGCCTGTCCTCCGTCATCTTTGCCAAAATGCAACACTAAAAACTTTTGTTAAATTTCACCTACCGTGTATCTGTTTCACCCGCCTTAGTGTGTCTGATTGAAGACTGTCACAGTCCTTATTGTTGTGCACATTGAGTAATGTGTCACCTACAAACTTTGACCTGATGCCCCGTTCAATGCGGAATGTAACAATAACCTCTGGCTTATTTTCTCCATTGCAATTTATCTCCTTGAACCCGTCTTTCTTATCTCCTCCACCTTCATTTCCAACAATAAGTGCAAGGAACTTCAGGATTTTCTGGTCACAAAGATCGTGATCATCTAATCAGCTGCCTCTGCCATTTCTCTCCTGTTAAGCTATACTTCTCTAAAGCACTGAATTCTTTTCTTTTGTTTCTTTCCTGTTTACCCTATTCCCTCTCAACTCATCATCTTCTCAATGAGGTCAATCTCCTACTACTGCAACCCTATTTCCACTAAACAATTGACCATTCAACCTGCCTCCCTCGTCCTCGGTAACGGATATTTCTAACCTTTCTCTCTCTTCAGATGCTGTCATTCTCTCCTTTAAATCAACCATCATCACTCCTGTTTTCGAAATAACAGCACTTGATGTTCACCTTCCTTTTAATCTAATCTATTACATCATCTCCAATCTCCTTTTCCTGACCCAAGACCTTCAGTGTGTTGTTGCCTCCCAAATCCAAACAGGTTTCCATCCCTGTTTACTGAAATTATTCTTTCATAGTTACAAGTGATATCCTATACAGTTTTTGATATTGTTGACAACAGTATTCTCCTCTAACACTTCTCCATTGACATCCAGTTTGCACGAGACTGAACTTGTCTGCTTGCATTCTTGGCGATCTCGAATTAAACTGTTCCAATATAGATATAACACAAGCTTCTATCTGGCAGAATGATAGGATGCCCAGGTACATCCTGTCCAAAAAACAGGACAAGTCATATTCAGCCAATTAGTGGCCACCAATCAATTACTTAATTGTCAAATCAACATCTTGAGTACCCTCAGCCAACAAATATTCACCAGTAACTTGCTCACTGATGCTTAGTATGAATTCTCCTTGGATGCGTACTTTGATCCAAACATGAGCAAAAAAGTTGAATTCCAGAGGTGAGCTAAGAGTGATTGCCCTTGACAGGAAGGCAGCCTTTTGACTGGGTGTGGTATCAAGGCACCCCAATAAAATTCATCATGCTGGGAGTCTTGGTGGGGACACATGTTACATTCATATCTAACACATGGTAGTAGTTGTTGAAGCACAATTATTTCACCTTCAGGATATGTCTGCATGATTTCCTTGAGGTAGAGCCTGAGGGCAAACATTCTCAAGCTGCTTTTATCCTTCAGCTCATCATAAGGTCAGAAATGAGGATCTTGGTAATGTTTGCAAAATGTTTACTCCACTTACAACTCTTAAGGTACTGAATTCCCATTTCAGTACTACTGTCTGTGCCTATAGAGCTGCTAATGTAACATAAAACAGAAGCATGACACAACCGTCAAGCAATGAGTAGCTCCATCAGAACATGAATCTCTGATAATCATTGGTATTATTGTTATGGACCAGACAAAACCTACTTCAGATATATCAAGGACATGGTCTTGACCCTAACTTCTGTACTATTTAAAGGCAAGTGTAAAATTCTGTGGCTAAGATGTAATTTGATTGGTCACATTGGCTTTAAGCAAAATACACTTTATTCTTACACCCAATTAAAATACAAACAAAAGGAAGAAAGAATTGATAATACTTTAATGCTTTGGGAAAACTAACACAATAATAGGTTATTTAACTGTTAAACAGCAACTGTTCCAATATAGTAACATCCCATAAACACACCTTTGGCAAAGACAAATTCAGTAAAATAGATTGTCTTGTACTGTGTTTCTCCAGTCCAGGAGAAAAGAACAGCGAGAAGATTCTGGCAGAGAGAGAGAGAGAATGCCATCTTTTTGCTGTGGCTGAGAGAGATGTATAGCAACTTCCACAGCCAACTTCAAAACCCCAACCACTACTGAAAGCTAAACTAAAACCCTGATTCTGTGAGAGCCTGACTTCACCCATTCATGCTGCTTCTATTGTTCTAACTTTAAAAAAAAACTCAGGGCCCCTCAAGCTGTTACTTTGTTGGCTTGGAAGGGACAACTCACTACCTCTGGCTCAAATCGTCTTTTCAAAAAAAAAGGACAAAATACATCCCACCGTCTATGTTTTACGGTTGATGTTGACCAGAAAGTTAGCCTGACCAACAATGCTAGTGTTGTCGCTAAAAGACTACGTCAGAGGCAAGGGATTATGTAGTAAGTAATTGACTCCCTAAAGCGCCTCCATCATCCACCAGATTTGATAGGGGTATAGGAATATTCTCCACTTAGCCTGATGACTGCAACTTTAGCTTCATTAAAGACTCTTGCCATTATCAAAGCAACTTTTTCCTTCAAAGCACAGCATGGGGGTAGTGCATGCACTGCACTTTGTAGATTGTAACTGTTGCCATGGCTTCGTGAGCAGCTTTCCAAACCCCTGACATAAGCAACCTAGAAGAGTGAGGGCAGAGGATGGATGGGGAACATCACTACCCTAAAATTCCCTTCCTTTTCTCTTTCCCTCCTGTCTACCTTCCTTCCACCGCTTCACCTCACACCACACACACTCTCTCATTTTCCGAATCTACTCCATAGTGACAGAATTCCGGCAGTATCACTGCTTGCACGTACTGAAATTTTCTGACAGATTTGCTTGTCTACTTACTTCCTAGAATCTTGATCATTCATTCCAGCCAAATTGCTCGGGTTTCTGTAAGCTCATTCATTGTGTTGTGTAGCACTACCAACATCCTGTGCAGAATCAATTCAGACAGACCTAGCAGCACAAATAGCTAATATTTAGATATTTTAACTATTATTCTGCTTATTTGTGATATTTCAAAGTGCAATATTGTCGAAATGATGCATAAGTTTTCTGGATAGTCAGAATGTATGTTGAACATTACTCATTTTGGGAGAGGAGTGAGAATGTAGCCTCAACTTAACAAAGGTTTATGTAAACAGAACAGGCTAATTAAAATCTGTTTCTATTGTATTGTTCATTCATAGTTTCTTTGGGACCTGTTCTTATAGTGCGGAGTAATATTTTCCAACAATAATTTCTTCAGGTTCATATATGAAACTGACCACTTTAATGGAGTTGCAGAACTGTTGGAGATTCTAGGAAGGTAAGGTATCTTTTAAATTTAAGATAAACTTTGGGGTTGGGGTTAGTATAATTCAAGTAAGACTGTTCCTGATCTCTGTTTTGTTTCCAACAATTGACTTTGTCAGTGGGTCCACAAGCATAAATAAATATGAAGTCTAATGTGTATTTGATGCCTCATGTTTTCCGCATCATCTCAAAATACTTTACTGCAATGCATTATTAAAACAGATCAATTGCTGTGGTGAACAAAATAGTCACAAGTTGACTTGATGGTACTGATTGAGATTCCTCCTCTCTGGTTTGCTCCCAGGCTTGCTTTCATTGATAGTTGTGGTAATTTTGCCTGAGCTACTCATCTTTCGGATCCTTACTTTGCTTATACCAGGGCATAGACTGTCTTTCACATTCTAGGCTAACTTAAGGAAAGAGAGGCCTACGAAAAGATATGCAAACATGTTGGAGCTTTGTATTGAACGGTGGAAAAGCAGCTAAATAGAACAGTGGAAGCACTGAATTTAAGTGGTATTATGTGAAATTGTGCCATGCATATACAGTAGAAAGGAAGAGTTGGGTGTGCATTAATTCAGTGTGTTACATTTTGCATTTGTAAGTTGACAGCAGGATAATGTTAAGTGTGGTTGGGAGATGTTGGAGCGTATTGTGAAATTTTTGAGGTGGAAAAATTGAGGTGTACTAACCAGTGCTACTCCTGTGAGGTTCTGAATCTACTCCCAAAAATGAAACTAAGTCCTAGAGGTGAAGCTGCAGATGCTGACCCTTCAGGTAACTCTGCCCATGCCTGCTCCTTCCTCACCTTGAAGACATCATTAAAACATGCTAGGAAATATTTCTCCCTCTGTCAACTCACTTATTCAATTTTAAAGCTCTGGAAAAGCATCAGAGTTTCTTGGAGTGACTTTTCTGCTTAGTTTGGCAGTCAGAAATTATTCCCAGTTATTTACCTAAAAAAAGGATGAATTTCTCAATTCTGCAAACTATTGGGAAAACTGTACACCAGTGATCCATGAGTTTGTTTTCTACCTCACATGTATCAGAGGCAAAATTAAGGCCTTTGTCTACATTTCCACCCAAACTACACTTACCCTGTCAGAATTCCTCCAGATTTACATCCCATGCTGAGATCTTTGGCCAACCAACATTGATTTTCTGTTGATCCATTTCTTTTGCTCCTGCAATTTCTTCTCCACAGTAATGTTTAGCTACCCTACTCAATGTTTCAGAATCTCCCTCCTTAAATCCTCCACTTCTCTTTATGCCTTTACATTTCTACTGAGATTTCTTTCACTCAACAAAGCATTTCCTTATTTATTTTAATTGTTCATGTGCTGCTTTTTTCTTCTGTAAAATAGTTGAAGTTGTTTAATTATACTAAAAGTGTAATATAAATACATTATGTGCATTCTGAGCTGAATTTATAGTCACAATAACTTCCCTTTGTTTGTGGGTGGGTGTATTTGAATATGCTTATAAGATTAACCTGGACTCCCAGGTACCTCAATAAAAGTACTCAGCGCGCAGCTGAACTATGCAGCCAAAATGTTACGTGGGTGATTGATTACTGTAAATCACCAAGTGTTGGCTGATTTCATTAGAAGTTGTCACTATTTATAAAAGTTGCATATCTACCGAACGAATGTATAAATGTGCTTAAAACTGACCAGAAGGCATTGGTTTTGACATAAAGATATAAAATTTGATGTACCTCTAATACAAGTGAAGAAATATTGTATGTACCTACAGATCAGATTACAAAGCTCTATAGCAACACATTTTCGCAGATCAGGGCTGTTAAATTATCAGCCCTTGGTGACCATGTCAGCTGTTTTGGAAGCTGTTGGATAGCCTTTGCTGGTTTTATGTACGTTGTTGTGTATGTTTCTTGGGTCACAGTTGAAAACTCAGATGAACAACTGACTTTAGTAACTGCCATAAACACATAGTTCTCTTGCATGTTGAAGAGAAAGGCTCTATCTCCTTTACCAACCTCAAGGGAAGTGAATTGATATAGCACATTCAGATAAAAATGAATTAAATATTGTACTGTACAGCATTGTATTATGAAATAATTTGATTCATTTAAATGTACTTGTAGGTATAAAGATAATTTCAGACATTTAAATGTATGAATTATTAACTTTATTTATTTTTCAGTATTATTAATGGATTTGCACTGCCATTGAAAGCAGAACATAAGCAATTTCTTATGAAGGTGCTCATTCCCCTTCACACTGCTAAAGGCTTAGCTCTGTTTCATGCACAGGTAGGCTATTATTTCTTGATGTAAGCATGGTTTAGTTATTATTGACTTGGTACCAGAACTGATTTTCAAATTTGATGTACATTCCACTCTGTGTCATTCAAGCTTTCAGTAAAAATGATACACTTCATTGTAGGGGCTGGACCTAATGACTGCTGAAGCAGGTCCGGTGTATGTTTTTATTGTGTAGGCCAAACATTTGCCAGAATTATGTTTGTGACATGTCCAGATACCTGTTTTACATTCATTTAAGTTAATTGAGAGAGTGGAAAGGCCAGGCTTTTGGAATAGGCTATTAAAACTAATGTTTCATAAATTGTCAAGTTCAACATTGACTGTGCAAATATTGCTGTCCTTTTTTAACAAGCTAGTTAGTTTGGCATTTTGTTGTCTGGATTGATACTTGGATCCATTTTCATTTGATGAGGAAATGAAGTTTAATTGACAAAATACTATAACATAAGTATTGGGAGTAAGGAACAGAAAACTAGGCTTATTCACTTGGGTGAATGGAGAAACTAAATAGGACAACCAAAAACAACTGCATGGAACTTAATTGAGTACATGTCATCAATTTCTTGCAAAAGTACTTTTGTTGATATACATTTTTGGGATAGTGTAGGTCCCTGTTAGAAGTTTTTTTTCTGATGTTAAAGCTTATTCACCCCCAGTGTTGAGTTTAAAAAAAGAATTTCCTGATATGTGCCTATTTTAGTACCTGAAACATCACGTAACCCTAGTATGAAAAGCATAAGGGTGAGGGGTTGACTGGATTGGGGGTAATCCTTAGAGGTCATACTGTGTCCTCCTGTTGTTGTTGACAACAATGTAACACACTTCCCTGCATCAGGAGCGCATCAGGAGCACATCAGAACCAACAACAAGACTCCTATGACCACTAGGAATCATGGTGGTGCACAAGCCCACAATCACTCTATGACAAACACTCACAAGCATTAGAGACCCCATTCCCACAACATGCAGAATGAACCTGGTTTACAAAATACCATGCAACGACTGCCACAAACATAACTTTGGACAGGCAGGAAATAAACTAGCCATTGGAATACACGAACATCAGCTAGCAGCAAAACAGCACGATGAACTCTCCTTAATATCTGTACATTCAGACAACGAAGGCCATCCGTTTAACTGGGACAAAGTAACCAAAGTAGCCCAAACCAAACATAGACACACACGGGAATTCCTAGAGGCATGGTTCTCCACCCATACTTAATCAACAAACATACAGAATTGGACCCCATATATAAGCCCATACAGATCAAAACCGGAAATAACAGTACTCACCATAACGGACTGGACAGCATAAATTCCAAGCGGAATAGAATAACATCGCTTCATCGGAGGTTCCACTGATGAAATCACCTAGCATGGTGATGAAATGTCTGAGCAAAAACAAGCCAGCTTAGCGAGCAAGTCAACAACCACATCCGCAACCCGAGCTACAGATTTTTGTCAATACTTTAAATTGTTGGAATGTCAGTTGGAATTCTTTAATTAAAGAAGAAAGAAACTACATTAAACCACTTTTGAACCTTTTGTATTCATTTCTGTTTGAGAGTTCGTATTAAAGGTGTATGAGCTAGTGGCCATGTTACTTTGCACTGTGTGCTTTAAGGCGTGTGCTAACTGACCGTATGAATTGTTTTTGCAGAGGGATTATTACATAAGACTGTCTAGAAACTCATTAGCTAATTGGCAATGTTCTTCAGTTGTCAGAAAATGACCAAATCAATTTTATGTCAGTTATTTAGTCTTCCCATATGTTTGTTAGATCCACCCTCTTTAATGCTGCCAACTTTCCCATTTTCCAGCACTTGCCTTATAGCCATGAATATCTGTCACCTTGCTGTATTCAGTTTTTTTTAAAAACCCAGTTTTGATGGCTTTATTGCCCAGTTGTTTCAAGAGGTGGATGGTTAGAGTTGAAACTTTTATGACCGATTTCATTTGTCCATTTGTGACTTTGAGCCACTGGCCATAGCCTCCCCAGTATTATCTTTAATGTTTTTTATTCTTCAGTTGGCATTTGCCTAGTGTCAAGGATTTGCCTCTTGCCTTTTCACAATAACTGTGTTGATACTAGGGTATCTTGCTTCTTACTTGTTGTTTCTGATTGGGTATTTACTGTGAATTCTTTGTAAACATTTAAAATGATTATGCAGTACAGCAAATTAATCACCAGTTTCACCTCATAATTCTTCAACAAGCCTTAATTTTTAACTTACATTCACAACACTAAGAATTTCACAACACTATCCCCAGTGGTATGCTTGGAGTGATTGTTATGCAGGTATATTAAATTAATTTTAAACAGGAATTTACTTACTTCATAAGCTTAACTTTAATTAACATGGAAAATTATGCTCCAAGCCCTGCCTCAGGAGAACTGTACAGATTATCATTGAGATATTAAAGTGGCACCCTGTACTTCCAATGAAGATGCTGTGGGAAATCTGCAAACTATTGATTAACATGTGATTGCTTAAGACATTGTACATACAGATTCTCACGATAATGAGTATTTCCAGACAATTTCAGTTTAGAAATTGAATAAAATATATATAAGCCGGGAGAAATTTTGTTTTTTAAGACTGCTGTTTCAAAATAGTGTTCCTTGAAATAAGATGCCACCATACTGAAATTTTGCAGTGAAAAACAATTTAATTGTTTGGATGAATTCAACCTAACTCACTACCACATTAAGTGCATAATACCAACTGATCTTAATTGCCCCAAATTGTCACAGATGGAAAATATAGGAAATTAAAAATTACTTTACAGGACTTGCAATGATCTTATCCTGGAGTATTTATACCAAAAACCTTCTCCTGGACCTGGACACGGTCACCTAAACAGACAATTAGAATTTTCCTTTTTTAAAAATATTGATGGTGAGTGGTGTGACTAACATGTGTAGTTAACGTGAGGCTAACAGCATTCACCATTCTTAAGGAGACAACCTCCAGCAACTGCACATGCACTGTTAAGTGCAGCAATCAAAAAGTTGCTATCCAAGATGCCCTACTCCTTCAGGAGTCTTGGCGTTTAAAAGCATGAAATGGAGTAAATTTGTAAAATTGACAGATATGTACATAAATGCCCAGTGAACTTGCCAGAAAATGTTATGCTTGTCCATTTCAGTACTGTTTTATTTTAGCGATATGATAAGTTTTAATTGCTATCAAACAATGTCTCTGGTACTGAAAATCATTTCAAACGATGTGGACTCCTATTTCTTTGATGTTAGCTATAACTGAGAGATTTCTCTGTCTTTTTTTGTCTGTCTCTCTCTTAATCCCATCTTCTTCCCTGTTTGGTTTATTTTCTGTACCTAATTTGGCATTAATTTCTGTTCTGATGCTGCATTGCTCATTAACAATTTTTCAATATGATTAGTTAAGACAAGCGTGATACCCTGTATACAGTGGGATACTATTTTGACACACACAATTACAGCAAATTAGAGTCACAGAATCATAGAGATGTATAGCATGGTAACAGACCCGTTGGTCCACTCGTCCATGCCGACCAGATATCCTAAATTAACCTCGACCCATTTGCAAGCAGTTGGCCCGTATCTCTCTTTAACCCTTCCTAATCGTGTACCTGTCCAGATGCCTTTTTAAATGTTGTAATTGTTCCAGCCTCCATCACATCTTCTGGCAGCTTGTTCCATACACGCACCACCCTCTGCGTGAAAGAAGTGCCCCTTAGGTCCCTTTTAAATCTTTCCCCTCTCACCTTATATGTATGCCGTCTAGTTTTGGACTCCCATACCCTGGGGAAAAGACTTTGTTGCTCATGATTTTATAAACTTCTGTAAGACATTCCATTTCAAGTTTGTGGGAAAGTGCGAGTTTAATAAATTCATAGAGTCATTATCATCCAGCACGGAAATAGACCCTTCGGTCCAGCCAGTCCATGCCGAATATGATATCAAACTAAACTAGTCCCATCTGCCTGCTCCTGGCCCATATCCCTCCAAAACTTTCCTATTCATGTACTTGTCCAAATGTCTTTTAAATGTTGTAATTGTACCCACATCTACCACTTCCTCAGGAAGTTCATTCCACATGTGAACCACCCACTGTGAAAAAAATTTGCCTCCATCTCTCTCTCAAATCTTTCTCTTCTCACCTTAAAAACGTGTCCCCTAGTCTTGAAATCCCCCTTCCTAGGGAAAAGATAATTACCATTAACTGTATTTATACCCGTCATTATTTTATAAACTTCTATAAGGTCATCTCTCAACCTTCTGTGCTCCAGCGAAAATAATCCCAGCCTACTCTCCCTTTCTTTATAACTCAGACCTTCCATCCCAGCAACATCCTGGTAAATCTCTTCTGAACCCTCTCCAGCTTAATAATATCCTTCCTATAACTGTTATTCTATTACACTGCAATAAACAGATGTACAAATCATTTAAAAATATCTTAAATATATATAAAAAAATCTTAAAAATATCGACTGGGACAACACGTCCATAATCGCACAAACCAAACAGAGACACACGAAGGAATTCCTGGAGACCTGGTATTCTAACCAGAACTCCATCAGCAAACACGTTGAATTAGACCTGGTGTACAAACCACTGAGAAACGGAACCAGAAGTGGTAACAAACACCCCAGTGAATTGAGACATATAAATAATAAGTGGGACAGAACACCGTCGCTTCATCAGAGGCGCACTGATGATGTTACCTAGCAGGTAACATTTGCAACCAAACCCACCAGCTCAGGGAAAAATTGGTGTGTCATTTTTCAAAATAGATGGAAAATAGGTCACTTACGTCAGTATAACCTTTTATAAGAAAGGCCTGTATTTGTACAGTGTCAATGTGTATCATGTACAATAAATCTGTCTGACGTTTGTAATAGTGTACAACAATAATTTAGGGGAAATTCCACATTGGGAAAAGCTTCATCTTGGAATACATATTTTAAAATGAGCAGTTGCAAACTACTTATGTCTGATTCTAGATTTGTTTTCATACTTTCTCTGATATAATATCGTTAGTTGAGTGAAATGAAGAGATTGCTCGACACACCGATAAGATTATTGCTTTGATTTGTGCACATTTCGATTTCACCAATTGCTGTTGCAAATCATATGTTTTGTTTTTGTCTTCTAGTTAGCTTATTGTGTGGTACAGTTCTTGGAAAAAGATGCCACTCTTACAGAACCAGTAAGTTTTAACATTAAATTTAGTAGTTACTGTATATTTTGATAACTATTTTTAAAAATCAACTTGATTTTTGGGAGGTTGTGGGCAGGATAGAGTTTTGAACTATACTGTCCAAAGAGCTTGGATTTTGAAAATCCACTCCTGTAATAATACTATTTACCTAAATGTCAATTTGAATGTTTGCTGCATGCACAATTATGTGAATATTTATATTGAGTATTTTAAAAAATGGGCAGAATCTGAGTAAGAAAAAAGAGGATATTATGAACATTTTTTTGTGATTGAAACTAAATTAACTTCTTTGGGGTGTAATTTTGTTTTTTAAAAAAAGTCAAGAGCAAAATTTAAAAGTTGATTTGATTTGGTGTTATTTTCATTCCAATCCTTTTTCTAATTACATGCCTCCTTTGAAAAAATAAACTTCTCATAAATTTTGTGCTTGTTAAATAAATTTTACAGCTAATCATGAGACATTAAATTTTAAACACTTGAACAATTTATTTTTAACCAGCATTAATTAAAAATTGTG